TCAGCCCCTCATCCAGGCTGGCCAGGCATCCCAGTGGGGACCCTCACCCTGAAGGGGGTGTGAACAGCTGCAAACAGCAATCATCCCCTCACCCAGGCTGGCCAGGCACCCAAGCGGGACCCCAACCCTGATCCAGGACACCCTTCAGGGAAAACCAGATGGCCCCCACACATGCATCAGGCCTCTATCCTATATTGTAAAAGGGTAATATGCAAACTGACCCTAACAGCAGAAAGACTGGGAATGACTGGTCACTATGACACACACTGACCACCAGGGGGCAGATGCTCAATGCAGGAGCTGCCCCCTGGTTTCAGTGTGTTCCCACAGGGGGAGCTCTGCTCAGCCACAAGCCAGGCTGATGGCTGCCAGTACAGCGGTGGTGGTGGGAGCCTCTCCCGCCTCCTCAGCAGTGCTAAGGATGTCAGACTGCAGCTTAGGCCTGCTCTCCACTGGCAAATGGACATCCCCCGAGGGCTCCCGGGCTGCCAGAGGGATGTCTGATTGCCAGCTTAGGCCCAGTCCCCCCGGGGAGCGGGCCTAAACCAGCAGGTGGTCATCCCCCGAAGGGTCCCAGACTGGGAGAGGGCACAGGCCGGGCTGAGGAACACTCTTCCCCCTCACCCCAGTGCACAAATTTTTGTGCACCGGGCCTCTAGTATTATATATATTATATGGAGAGATAGACTAGACAAGATAAATAGGTAAAAATGCAGCTTTTTAACCTATGATGACAAGTTCCAATGAGAAAAGTAAAAACAGGAAAGAGGAATAGGAATATTGAGGGGAGGGATTGAGTATTCACAGACAGTCTTACAGATAAGGTGACATTTCAATAAAGGCTTGAAGAGGTGAGAGGAGATAAAAGAAGAGCATTCCAGCCATAGCAAAAGGCAAGTGCAAATGTCCTGAGACAGAAGTTTGCCTGAGGAATGGCAAGGGCCTGGGAGGGTGGGTACTTTTATTGTGGTGCCTTATGCAAATACTTTTTAAACTTTAATGTGCATATGAATTACCTAAGGTGTTCTTGTTAAAATTCAGATTGTAATTTTGTAGTTCTGAGGTGGGGCCCATTTCTAATAAGCTCCCAGTTGCTGCTAGTTCTGTTGGTCCTTTGCAGGACTTTAGCTTTTATTCTGAGTGAAATGGGAAGTCTTTGGAGGGTTTTGGGTAGTGGTATGATATCTGATTTCCATTTTGACATTATCATTATTCTGGCTGCTGTGTTGGTAATGGATTGGTGGTAGAATGGGCAAGGGCAAAAGTAGGAATAGCAGTTGGGCTACTGCTGTAATCCAAGTGAGAGAAGATGACCATTTGCACTAGGGGTAGCAGTGAATATGGTGACACATGGTATGATTCTGGATATATTTTTCAGGTAAAGACAACTAGCTTTGCTGATAGATTGGATGTGTGCTGGAAAGGAAAACATGGAGTTCAGGATGAGTTCCTGGAAGAATGCCATTGCCATTTATTGAGATGGGGAGCCTGAAAAGAATAAGTGTGGAGGGAAAGAACAGTTCAGTTTTGGACATAATTATGTGATAGATGCCTATTAGACTTAGTAGAGGTGTTGCATAAGTAGTTAGGTTTATGAATCTGGAATACAGGAGAAAGGGTCCACTGTTGTCAAATAGAATATATTTAAAGCCAGGAGCCTGGATGAGATCACTAAGGGAGTGAATAGAAAGATAAGAAAGAAGAGGTTGAAAAACTTAGTTAACTCTGGAGTAGATCAGAATTTAGAGGTCCTTCCCCCCTCCCCCCCAAACTTGTCTTTCTTTAAGACAAGTCTTTCAAGAGCATAATTTGGGACATATTATTCTCAAGGATTGTTGGAGAGTTTATAATTTTATATAAATAATAAGAAGTAAAGCTTGCTATAATATATAAGAGTTTGTGTGTTATAACTAGGTTTAGTCTTTAGCTCTGTCACTTGTGTGCAGTGGGAAATTTAATGACATTAATTTTCACATCTGCTATTGGGGACAGTATCTACGTTTTAGAGTTGTATATACTGGAAATAATTTATCCTAAGCTTAATGCTTGGCACAAAGATGACATATATTTCATAAAATTAATGCTAATTCTTTTTAGTAACTATTCAGACAACATTGCTTAAATTTTTGGGTCTTCATATATGTGCAACAAGGTAAAGTGAGACATTATATCAATAAAATCCATTTGTATCTCCAAGCTTTACAAATATACACTAGGAATGAATTACTGGTGTGTGTGTTTTTTTCCATACCACAACTCTTTCTGTTGTAATTAGCTAGTTAATATTAATAAAGGAAAGAAAACTAAGGGAAGTCAGACATTGTAATCGTGGTCACCTGGGAAGCTTCACCAGGAAGCTACAGCTTCACATAGCATTGTTCCTACTAGGGGATTAATAGTCCTTTCTTTCCCCTCCCTGGACTGGATTGTTGGGGCGGGGTGGGGGTGTGGGGGGAGAGAGGAGAAGGAGATAGGCACATGCACTGTAGAAGTGGTGGGGCAGGGGAGGTGCTTGCCTGCCATCAGTCTAACCTGGGGAACAGTGGATTGGCTTGGGGGTAAACCCCAGCAAAGCTCAGGAAATCTTGGAAAGTTAATTGGTTAGTTTGAAGAAGCTCCTGTTAAAATCCCAGACAAAGAGTTCCCTCTTTCTTGTCCTCTCTTGCTCCGTGCATGACCTACACTCATTGTGCATTCACACATTCTCTCTCCATAGCCAGGTGGCCTTGGCAAGCGCATAGCCCATGGCCGTGCTGACTCCACATGCACGATGCTGGACTTTAATATGAAGCAGAAATTGTGAGCAGTGGCCTTTATTCTGACCCTGCTGAAGGACACATTCCGTGGCAGGACGGAGGGAAATGGGACATTAAAAACCCAGGGGTTTATTTCTACCTAAATAGATATTACTCATCCTCCCCTGAGAGTCTCAGGAAATTCTTTTCCATGTGATGTTGCAAGAACTCCACTTCCACCCATAACAACCAATTGTCCAATTCTGTAACACTGAGCTTCTGACAATTCAATTCTCTATCTACCTGTAGTTAGTGGCAGATCCTACAAGTTAAAGGGCTCAGTTCCACAAGATTGCCCCCATTGTAGATGCCAGTTGCAAGTCCTGGGCCACCTGTGCTTTGCAACAAATTTTGGCTTCTCTACAAATTCGGGGGGTTCTCCCAACACCCTCCTCAGATTTGATAATTCCCTGGGTTGACTCACAAAACTCAAAAAACACTTTATGTTTGCAGGTTTATTATAAAGGATACAACTCACAAACAGCCAAATGTAAGAAATGCATAGGGCACGGTATGGGAAGCTTCCATGCTCTCTCTGGGCCCACCACCCTCCAGTACCTAAGAGTGTTTATCATCCAGAAGCTCTCTGAACTCTTTTGTTTAGGGGATTTTGTGGAGGTTCCATTACCTAGGAATGATTGATTAAATCAGTGGTATTGATGATTAACTCAGTTTCTAGCCTCTCCCTTTCCCAGATTGGAGGCAGGGCTTGAAAGTTCCAACTTTCTACTCATGCTTGGCTCCTTTGGCAACCAGTTCCGTTCTGAAGCTATCTTGGAGGCCACCCAGAGTCGCCTCATTAGCTTAAACTCAGGTATGGTTGAAAGGGATTTTCTTTCTTTCTTTCTTTTTTAATCCTCACCTGAGGATATTTTTCCATGGATTTTTAAATATATTTTTAAGTTGATTTCAGAGAGGAAGGGAGAGGGAGAGAGAGAGAGAAATATCAATGTTGAGAATCATTGATCAGCGGCCTCCTGCACGCCCTCTACTGGAGATTGAGCCTGCAACCTGGGCATGTGCCCTGACCAGAAATTGAACCATGACCTCCTGGTTCATAGGTCGACGCTCAACCACTGATTTTTAGAGAGAGGGAAAGACAGACAGAAATATCGCTGTTAGAGAATCACATCGATTGGTTGCCTCCTGCATGCACCCCAACCAGGGCCCAGACCGGGAAGGAGCCTGCAAGCGAGGTACGTGTGGTTGACCAGAATTGAACCTGGGACCCTTTGGTCCGTAGGCCAATGCTCTATCCACTGAGCCATACCAGTTAGGGCAAAAGGGATTTTTTATGAATAAAAGAAGAGACTCATCCCTCAGAAAATTCCAAGGGTTTTAGCAGCTCTGTACCAGGAATTAAGGATGAAGACATATATTTCTTATTATATCACACTACTTTTACATAAAACTAGATCATGATTTTTAGAGCAGAGGGCTGAGTTTAGAACATAAGTATTGAATTCCCTCTAGGTCAGCGGTCACCAACCTTTTGGACCTTACGGACCACCAGTGGTTCGAGGACCACTGGTTGGCAACTGCTGCTCTAGATCATTGATATGTTTTTTTATTAGGCCACGGTGCTACAGTTTTGATTCTTGGTAATGTAAATAACATTTGTTTTGAGATCCTTAGATGAAAGGTGCCATTGAAACAGCTAAATGCCATATTCCTGAGGGGTCTTTATCAAATTTCAGTATTGTTTCTTTTTCTGCCTAGACTTTTGTCCTCAGATGGCTGTACTTTAATCCTGTGACAGAGCTAATTCTTTAGTGGGATGTGACAAAAACAGATCATTTTCCCAACAGGATAAGGCTCATTTGTCTTAAACTATTGGCTCATGAAACTTGGGTAGAGATGTCTTTTGATGGTCTTAACTCTTTTTAATGGTAAACAACAGCATGTACATTTTTATAGTTAGGACAGGAAGGGTAAATTATTTGGAATTCCAAATTCTTTTCTACTTTACAAGTTTTTTTCCTCTGTTTATTTTAACATGCTTGTTAGAGATGTGGATACGGTCTTGCTCTAATACAGAAATTTCTTTAGAGAAAATGTAAGTTTTAAATTAATATTTTAAATGTTTTTGAGCATCTCTGGGATGTATCATGATATGCAAGAGTGGGCACTGGTCTAACATAGTGCCTAGCACTCAGTAAATATCTGTAGCTCTTCTGGGAATTAGAAGCTTCATTTTCTAGCCTTTGCTACCAGTACCTGTATGACCTAATTCTAATCTCTTTTCTCATCTTTAAAATCATTAGAATCCCTTCTAGCTCTGATTCAGTGATTTAGTTCATTCTTAGGCCCTCCCCCCCCCCCCCTTTTTTTAAGTTAGTTTCAGTATGGCCTTGAAGTCAGTTTCTTGAAAACAAACAGAATCACCAGATAGGCTGAGTGGCAAATGTTGTGAAGTAATCCATACTCTGGCTTCAGTTATTTGCTTGGTTATGTATGTATTCTTTCTTTACTCTGGTAGAATTCCATTAGATTTTTTTATTCATATTAGATTGGGACTAGATACTTATCAACAAGCACATTTCTTAGCACCTACCCAAAGAGGATGGAGTGGGAGTGAAACCCAAAAAGTTGACATTTGTGTTACTTGTCACTACCAGAACCAATAAGTAGAGACAAGGATTGCAGCTTTATGGGTGCTATATTCAGATGACTGGCGATCTGAGAAGATGGTGGGTAATGTACCGTAAACCCCATCTTACATATCATCTCAAGTTGACCTTTTTTATAAGGAGAAGAAAAGTGTAGGTGAAGGGTTTGAAATTGAGGAAAAAGTAGGTAAGGGGTTTGGAATTCAGGGAAAAGGTTAATCAGATAAAAGCTGCAGTCCGGTGATTTTCCTAGCATCCCTTCATCTGCTGACAGGTGATTCTTTAGCTGTGTCTTGGCAGCTGACATTCTCTCCCTGGAGCGCAATGGATCGCTTGCAGTCCTCCTGGGACACCAAGGTTCCTGGAACAATAGTTTTCTACATGCATTAATTACCAAGTTTATTAACTATGTAGCTAACTTCTTGAGGTCCCCCCATCAAGAGCTTCATGGAGTGACTGATCATTTTTCTAGTCAGATATCCCTAAATGGTACCATGTGCAGTATAGTTCAGGTTCAGAAAAACATTATTTAAACTGTGTGTGTTTTTTATTGTTGAGATAGGTTTAGAAAAATCTGACCAGTTGACCAAATTTTTCAAAATGTTCATGTATTTTCCCCATGTTTTAAGTAGTATGTCACGTTTCGACAATGAATTATAGGTATACTGAAGAAGTGTACTGTTATAAGTGTCAATTTTCTAATCTGATTTTATTTAGAGTTTGCTTAATTTCTTCCTGTATTTAGAGAATTTGCATTGCTCATTCAAGGATTCTGAAGTAACAATTGCCTTTTTCTTTTTTACTTTGCAGAAATAAGTGTTACTTTTCCAGTGTTTTAGTAATTAGGTTTTTCTTCCTGAAATGAGATGATAGACTTGGCCATTTAAAAAGTAAAATAAATTTAAGTTTAAGATTGATGTCAATGTTTACAGGCCCCCAAATTTTTCTAGGTGGTCTAATATTTGCTAGTAAAATGAAAAACAAAATAATATACTCTTTTTTTCTGGTATATGGCAATGTGGAGGCAAAGGATGATTAGGAAGCCAAAAATCTAAGATATATATATTCAGATCTACCATTGAGTTAGTAAGTATTCATTGAATGCTAACTGTGTGCTTATTATTGTTATCGACTTTGATATGACACCTCTCTTCAGGAAACTTTCCAACATAGAGGAAAACAGCTAATTTTTGAAGGCCACTCAATTTGTATTATGTAAATTCAAAGAAAGGAGACAATAGGTGAGTGCTGAAGTGATTAGAGGAGGATTTGATCTGTGGCCTCTATTTTTTAAAAAAATATATTTTTGATTTTAGAGAGGAAGGGAGAGGGAGAGAGATAGAAACATCAATGATGAGAGATAATTATTTTATTTATTTATTATCTAAAGTTTTACATATGTCTCCTTTTACCCAGCTAAACATCAATGATGAGAGAGAATAATTCATAGGCTGCCTCCTGCACGCCCCACACTGGGAATTGAGGCCACAACTTGGGCATGTGCCCTGACTGGGAATCGAATGTGACTTCCTGGTTCATAGGTCAACCACTGAGCCATGCCAGCTGGGCTGTGACCTCTATTTGCATAAATGTTGCAAAAAAGGAATAACATTGCAGGTATGAAAAATAACATGAATGAAAGCATGGAGACAAATTAATCTTATATTGTGTTTCTGCATTCATGAGGCTAGCCTAATCCATTTGTTGACATTTCAAGCTTAGTTGATTTTTTTTTTTTAACCAAGAAGTGAGATTTATTGGGGGACATTAATTTAACAGTCATCACAAACATAAATATTTGTAGCACTTTTAGAATTTAGTATACCTTGTCTTGTAATTTGTTTCCTTATAATTAGCTTTAGTGAGAATCTCTATTGCTAGAAAACTTTACTTAGTATATATTATGAGGGGATTTTTATGAAAAATAATTAGGTATTGGGTAAGTATAAAAAATTAAAAATTTCCTGCTTAGGCAGAGTTTACAGGATCTGCTAATATTTGAAGAATTTTTTTCCATTAGCTTAATTGTTTTTTTAAAATTTATTTTATTTTATTGTTGACAGTATTATAGATGTCTCTTATTTTCTCCTTTTTGCCACTCTTCACCCAACCCCTGTCCCACCCCAGGTCTCCCCCATGTCGAGCTTAGTTTTGAGTAAGGTCAGTTTAAGATATAAAGGATGGTCCTGGCCAGTGTGGTTCAGTGATTAGAGCATTGGCCTGTGCACCAGAGGGTGGCTGATTCAATTACAAGGGTACATACCTGGGTTGCAGGTCTGATTCCCACCCTGGGGTGCTAGTGGGAGGCAACCAATTAATGTATCTCTGTCACATCCATAGTGGGAAAATATCCTCACTCCTCAGGTGAGGTTTTTTTAAAAAAGATATAAAGAATGGATTTTGAGAGGTAGAGTTGAAATGAAATGGGGAGGTCCCCCCCCCACCCCCCCTTCCCAATTTGTAGTAGAATGAATTGGAGGGGGAAGAGACTTGCATAAGTAAGGACTATTGGAAGTATCATATTATAATTTTGGAATAAGAGGAAAGAAATGTCCAAAAATAACTTTTCCTGTCCTATTGTGAGAATAAACATCTGTAAAAACATTGTTTATTGATAAAGATTGCTCTATCAAAACATTTGTTTTATCAGAAATATTTCAAGTTTCAAACTGAAACTTTAAAAAGTCAGTAGAGTGTGGCAAACCTTTATTTTATGATTTTTTCAGCGAATAATATTGAATAAATCCAGTATATAAATTTTGTATTTTTTTGTAAATAATGCAAAGTGTATTGAATTTCTGATATTCCTTGGATCTGTGAGCCCAGAATTCTATCTGTAGTAAATAGTAAAAATAGAACTGTGGGCCTTTGTATCCTATTAGAAGGCAAATGATGACCTTAAAGCATAAAGTGCATTTATTTCATAAATCTGTGTTTTAAAAAAATCAGTGGGGCAAAGATCAGGTTAGGGCGTCGGCACCATAATAGTGGGTGTATTTCATTTTGATATGCATATCCTATTCTGTTATTGATTAAGATCATGAGAGTCCATAAACTATGGTGTGTGGTAATTCTGATCTCTGATATTAAGCTTCATATGGTAACTCCCAAATCTGCATCTTTAGTCTAGACTCCCTACTGGTTCTTGAAACCTAATGTCTCCCAACCAAATTCTTTAGCATTTTGCTATGATCTCTTTGCATTC